TAAAGGTGTTATAGTAGTAGGGGAAAAGTTGTTAATAGGGATTTCTTTAATTATTTTTAGAAGATGTAGGCGCATAGATACTAGCGTTGCTTAGCGTAACCTAGCTTTACTTTATAGCGTTAACATAGTTATATAGTCGCTCTACCGTAAGATATTTACTTCGTCCTAACTAAATCTATTAGGGAGTCCTAATTATTTAGGGTAGTATAGGACTAGACCTACTTATGTTTAGGGTAGTATAGTATAGGACAAATAACGTTATTTTCCCTATACCGCCCTAAATCCTAATAGGATTTCCTATACTACTACTAGGTCTAGTCGGAATGTACTTTGTTATCTTCGTATACCTATCTACGATAACTAGTATTAAGTTAAAGACCTCGTTATAGTACTTACTTAGAGGAAGGTCCGTAATAAAGTCTATAGAGAGTTCTTCCTATAGGCTAGCTAGCGCGGGTAGCGCTACTATAACGCTATAGGGCCGATAGCGTTTCGCCTTCGATCTCTAGTAGATTTCGTAAGTTTCGATATATCGCTTAACGTCGCTCGCTAGCTCTAGCTAGTTAAACGTTCGTCGAATTAAGGTAATAGTCTTTTCTTGTCCGAAGTAAGCTATAAGCGGGTCGTCGTAATATATGCGTATTACCTACGTCCGTAGCGCGTTATCCTAAGGAACGTATACGTAAGCACCCTAGTATAGGAGACCGTCTTTAGTTTCCTAGAGGGCGCCTTTCTACTTACGTATAGGGTACGTCTTACCTTCGTAGACGACGGGGTCCGCGGCCTATAAGGCGGTAATTATAGCGAGTAGATTTATATCCGGTTCCTCGTCGTACGCGGAGATAGACGATACGGAACGGATTAACGTAGTAACTAGTATAGCACCCTACGTAGGGTATACCTACGTTACGGTTACGTCCTATAAGTACTAGCTTAAGGGTATCCTAGCGTCGGCTAAGGGGATCGAAGTAAATAGTCGTCGAATAAACGGGTAGTCGTTACCTTTCTATTAACTTAGTTTATTCTTTAAGGTTAGGAGAAGGTTATCGAACGCTTACTCCGTCCCTACGTAGTTAGGGCGTCGTAATAGCGCGTCGGCTAGGTTAC